ACTGGCAGTAACTTAGGATGATTGTCACTGAATATCACTTTCTGTCTTCATACCATTTCATAATAGTCACAATTTGAAAATATATATTAATGATCTATTAATGGACAGAGAAATAATTTATGGGTTTTATTTGAAAATAATGGTATTGAAAAGCAATTGATTGAATAAACATTGAGTAATAGTTTTAAAACCAGAATCCAAGTTCTAATGATAGGTTGATGTTCATTAACTTCAATTTAGAACATAAAATTCTTGAGGGTTTACACATAGAACAAAAATTTTCAATTAAAATATCCCTGAATATCTACTACAATGAACCATTCCTATAAAAAAAAAGAAAAGAAAAAGAAAAGTAAAATGGCTCTTTTTATATATATATAATTTCTGTTAGCAAATAGTTGGACATATAAACACAATTATACAACTGACCAAAATATGGGTATTGTATGTTATTTCCAAGTTTGGTAAAAATCATCTGAGTATAATGTACCTCTGTGTTCTAGTATCATTCACTAATTATCCAGTATAGCTTTTATCAATATCAACAAAAAGATAAAACTAATCTAGAATAATAAATCTTTTGTTCTTGTAATGCTTGTCTCTTGAAAGTTGAAAGCTATCCAAAATAGTGAAAGGATATTTGTGGAGATGAATAGAGTCTGAAAAGTAAATTTACAACACGTTACTAGGCTTCGTCTAAAAAATTCAGACAATGATACGTTATTTAATAAAATAGGTTTACTGAAGATCATCATACTCAATATAATGAACATAATATGGCCAAACTTTGATTTCAGACAAATGCTTTTTGGAAAAATGACATCTAAACATCTTTTAAGTTGAACATAATTACTAATATAATAGATACCCAATAGAATTTTTTTTAAAATCATGTCCCTTCTAGTGATGATGACTCTTCATAACTTCCTTTTCTTTAATATCTATAAATGGGGAATTTTCTGTATGGTTTTTCAGTAGAGAAACAGAGGAGTAAAGAGGGAAATTTTATCTGAGTATGTATTTTAACTAATTTTATTTTTTTGTAAATTCAAAACAATTTTTAACCTTGAAATGAAAGAAAAGTGTTTATGTGACACTTAACTGAAAACACATTTTCCCATTTGAGTAGGTTTTTGTGAGTACTTTATATAATGTGATCTTAATATGCTGCATATACCAAAACTCAGTTTCAGTTTCTAAGCCATTCTTCTAATGTGAATGTTACTCAGTATTCTAGAAAATTGATCTCCATAATCAACATTGCTATTTATCTGGGTCAAAGAGAGTTTCCAGTGTGATCCATGAAAACAATCATGTAGTTTTACTATAGGAAAAAAATATTCAGCAAAAATAAATATGTTGTACAAATAACAAACACTCCCATTCCCAAAAGATAGAAACAAAAAATATTGTGACTAAAATAGATGGAATGTTCATGTTTGTACATTAACCAACAGATTTGATGAGACCATTTCATCAAAAATAACTTTTTCATCAGCAGAATGTTTCTGTGAATTTGCATATAATTAGCCGCACTATCCATAATTGGTAGGAAGGCCTAAAAAATATTAATAATAGAATAAAATAGACAAGATTTAGAAAATATATTTTACAACTAAATCAGGGGGTGGGAACAAAACTGGTGATTGACTAAAGAAAACAACAAAGTTTGGGGGTTAAATATTAACAATTACTCAAAGCTGAATAAAATTAATTAGTTATTTCACAAAGTAATTGATGATTAAGAAAAGAATTTATTTCAGCTTAATTGCTCTCTCTCTCTCCAAATTTCTACCCACATTAACTGTGAAGTAATGCAAAATTTTGTCATAGAATAATAGATAGATACAATATTACTGAGCTTTGTAGGTATAACAAGTAACAAACAAATTTCTTATAATCCAGTGTCTTCAAATTTACCTCAATAGTTAGGACAGCAGGCTGTTAAATAAGGAGAGAAGTTTCAGCTGCTAAGTAGATCATTACTCCAAGCTTAAGTAAAGGGAAAAATTTCATTTCATTTAAAAACAAATATTAGCAGTTTCAACTAAGTAAATACTCTATTGTTTTATAACTGATATAAAAATATCTGGGATAATTTTGATGACTAATAATATGATTGTTATAAAATAAAATAAGACATATCTCGGCTGATTTGCAGGCAAATAAACTAACATACTCAAGAGCGAGAGCCGGATGTGAACGGGACAAGGCCCCGTCACAAAATGACCAAATTTATGCGTTTACACATATTCCCAATGCACGAGTTCTGGTCGAAAAATAAAATAATATTTTAAAGTGTTTCTATTTTTCACCAATAAAAATGCTTCCTCCTAATTATACTCGCGTCGTTTTACGAGCCTGTCAAACCATAAAAAACGCCATAAAAGGGGTCACACAGAAGTACAACAGCAGTCAACAGGAGGCCAGGGAAGAGACCTGTCACGGTCAGGCTGAGCGGTCAGCAGCAGTAGCACCACGCCAACCAGCGAGAACTACTATGAGAGATCAACCCAGATCTTCAGCCGGCCTATGAACTATACCACAAGGTAGCTGTCCCAAAACCACACGTTCCTATTGAAATAAATCACGTAAATCTATTTCTGCTGTTGTTGTATTTCTTTCTTGCAACCTTACGCTTGTCTATAACATGATTAAAAGCTATCTCCTTTCAAGGATATTAAAACTTAGCTTTTCTAAGATAGCAAGTCATATAGTCATTGAGAACTAAATATGATGAGAGAGATGAGTTTGAAATATTATAATTTCTAAACATCACAGATTTTTACTAAAAAAGCTGAAGAAAAAAAAATCTAGTTATTTGCTTCCAAATGAATCAACTATAATGCAATATAATTTACTGTTTTATAAATAGATAATGAAAACAATTTTTTTAGTGAAAAATTTATAAAAATGTCTGAACTATAAAACAAGAAAATTTAAGTAAACATGATTTTTCTAGTTTATTGTACATTTTTTCTCAGATTATTTTATATCTCAGATTATTTCTTGTTTTAATTTTCCACATTTTTAAAAAATTGTGGTCCAAGATCAAGGATGCCTAATGTATAGAAATCCAAGGCCTGAAACTAGCAATTATAGGTTAATTCCCTTTCTACCCTTTTTAAAAAACATAATCTTGAAAAGTTATTTAAATTGTTGCTAACTTTTCAAAGGATTTGTGTGAAGCATGCCTAGAAAATCTGCAAATAAATTATATATTGTCAGCCAAGTAATGACTGATGAAGAAATCTTAAATGAAGAATAAGTAACTTGACCAAAGCAATTGGCAAAGCTGACAAATTGTGTTCTTTGGAATGGTTGGCTAATTGCCAATCAGTTTGAATGCCCAAAATGTGGACTGAACGGAAGGGATAATAATGTTTGTTGTCTTGTCTAAAATTAAAAGAATGATTGTTTTAGAGGAAAAGATTCTTTGTGGTAAGAACAAAAGAAAGAAATGCCTGGAAAATTCATTTTTTTCAAAATTTATAATTACAGATACTCATTATGTGTTTACCTAAATTTTCTTGTTCACAGAGATTTTTATGAATAAAAAATTTTCTTTTCAGATTTGTTTCTTTTCATTTGTTTATTGTAGTTGGTTTTCATATTTTTATAATCTTGTAAATAAATAAATAAATAGTGTTTAATATTTTTGTTGCTAAATATCAAGAACAAAGAAAATGTATAAATTCACTTTCATATGTTTGGTTTTATTAAAATTCTCAACATAGCTTTTTAAAACAATAAACATTGCTGAGGATACAATAATAGCAGTATCAAGAGAAAAATTAGCCTTTTTGGGAGTATGAAGATTATACTTTTTGCCCATTCTCTTTGAAATGTCTCAAGAGCATTACCATTGCAGCTTCCAATATGATAAAAAAAATAAAAAGGTACACCATGTTTATGGTACTAGCCACCAACCACAGCAAAGCAGTGATAGTCAGCCTCTTGAAAGTAATCTGGCTAACAGGAAGAATGACAGGTAACTGAGATACACATGGTGAGGTACACCAACATCATGTAATTTTTTATGGTCCCAGAGGAAGAGAGGAGGCACAGTGGAGTAATGGATAGTGGCTTGGACTGAGGAATCAGAGAGCCGAATTCGAATTCCAGTCAAATTCATTACATTCACTTATGTGCTAATACTCTTGGGAAAGTATGAATCCTCTTCTTCCCCAGCTATGGGTAAATAGCAGGGCATACTGAGTTCTATAGCCTTAGATGGCAACTGGTCTACTGCAGAAAGAAATGGCAACCTACTGTGGATACATGATCGCCTAAATGTGTATCATGCATGGCACATAACTGACTGAATGTCACCCCATTTCATACCACAGGACTCCAGCATCAATATCACTGCCTATATCAAAGTGTTGGACACATTGCTCAAGTCCAGAATTGACTGGGTGGCCAAACATGTTTCAGCACATAGCCCATATGACCCAGAAGTGGCTGGTCAAGTATTTTCATGATCATGTCATCCCTAAATGCTGTCCTTCTAGCTCTCTTGATTTGAATACCTTGGACTATTGTATCTGAGGCATAATTGAGAATACTTACAACCAGTGTCTCAACAATACAAAGGGCTTGTTGAAGGCTGCCATCATAGATAAGACAGCCACCATGAACAAGAATAACCTGATTTGAGCATGCAGCCACATTGAGACAATTCTTGAGATAGGGGGCAGTTTTGTTGAATAAGTGTTTACTTTTTACCTGAGATGTATATTTTTTATTTTCTTTATAATTTGTTCTCAATTGCCTGGGGTATGTATTCTGTTACAGACATGCTTACTGTATCCATATAACTTCTAAGGATATAAATATATATATATATATATATATATATATATATATATATATATATATATATATATTCAAGATATGGATTCTTAGGTATGCTGTAATGATTATCTTTTTTATCTTAATATGCATGCTATCTAGTAAACTGGTATAAGTGACACAATTCAAATATTTTACATTTACAGGTAAAATAGTGTGCAGTCAAGTAAATGGTCCTGTGAGCAGAACATTAGGACAAAGTTTACTGCTGCAGCAACAGTTAAGGAAGTGCAGAGATCCTTGCTGTACTACTGTTGATGTCCCTGAGAGAGGCAGTCCACCTGTCTGTCAGTGTTGGTCTCATGGCTCAATTGTGAAGTGGCTATGGAAATGAAAGACATGGAGAAAAAAAAGAAAGTCCGGCACAATTCAACCAAGATGGAGCCAGAAATCCCAGTAGAAGACAATGTTGACACATTCATCCCAACCCCTCCAGACGGAGGGTGGGGTTGGGTTATTGTTGGGGCATCCCTCATCAGCAACATTATTGTTGATGGGGTTGCTTATTCATTTGGAGTATTTATGGACGAATTTGTTAACTATTTTAAAGCTTCTAAGAGCAAGACTGCTTTAGTGGGCTCTGTACTGGCAGGTACCTACCTCTGTGCAGGTTAGTATTTTTCATTTTTCTTATTTATTGAACAACAGAAACAGACTGGGCTTGTATCCAAAAGATCTCATAACTCAAGTCATCAAATTGATCAGACTGATTTTTTTTTCTTTTATTTTATCTTGGACCTGCTGTAATTTCAAACACAACCACAAAGCACATTCATTTTATCAGTCAGACTGGTTTTTGTTGAATTAGAATGAAGAATTTCTGCTATATTTAAACATCTGAAAATAGATAATATTAGTTGAAGAATCAGGTGATATATTATTTAATAAAAAGTCATAATGTCTTTGTGATAAATTATTTATATTGCTATAAATTTCTTTAAAATGCTACTCATTGATTTACTGAAGCTAACAGCATTATTTAGTTTTTTCCTCTGATTTTAGTTGCTTTTAGGTTTCATCATATAGCATCATCTCTTATTCATGTGTTTCTAATTAGATAACACCTGCACAATATTATCACCTAGTGGAATGTGTATAGCTAGCAATGAAATATAAAATGTAATCATTATTATTTTATTTATCCTCAGTTTTGCCATTATGGTCTTTGCCTAAATGATCAAATTGAAAGTTCAAATGAAATGCTTATTTTCTGATATAAATGAATTTTATTTATAATATCAAGGATATTTGTCCAAATACACCAAACAACTTAATTAAACAAAAATATGACATAGTACATAGGCATGTGGGGTGACACTAAGTTTTACCTTGGAATAAAAATTTGTGTCCTCTGTGCTATTTGTTGAAAGAGAAAATCAAAATCAAGTTCAGGTTTACTTTAGTAAGACCTGAATATATAGTAACTTTTTTACTTGCTTAACAGTCTCAATCAATCACAGAATTCCTTATCCCAATAAAAGAACACTACTTTAGAAAACAGCAGTATTTTTCATTCTTCATGGGTGAAGTAGTCAGCTGTATGTTGTGAATCATGGTTCATTTACACCCCTGCTATTTTAATTACTTTGGACTTGAGAGACTTATTTATTACCTTTGGAATAAAGACCCAGGATTTCTGATTTTTGATATGAAAACTGCCATTTTCCTACATTTCTTTTGTGAAACAAGTGTTTAATGATCTAAATAATTCACAAATAAATACAACTTAAAATTTTGGAAACTTATGAACACATGTTAGAGTTTTCATCCTTTCAAGCATCAAATTTATCAGACCTGCTATCTTCTCTTGTAGGATATCTGACCAGGTTAAATTTAACACAGAAAGAAAATCTTCTTTTCTAAATTGTTTTGCCCAAATAAGTATGAGAGAAATCCTTCTTGTTGAAGAGAGATGTACTTTTATGAAGTGATAATTCCCGCACATACTGGAAGTTTTGAATGACTTCTTCTATGTGCCGTGAACCTTCAAGACATTGGTATTCATATCCCACCACAATTTCCAGCCCTTTGTAGCTTTTTGTAAATTTTGTCTTTTTGCTATCTCTCCTAAACCCTTTTCTACCATCCATTTATGCAAACTCACTAGGTAGATTATGTGTTCTTTTCCTCTGTCCTTGCCTTGAATCTGTCCTGTGAGTATCAAATTTTCCAAGCCTGCTTTCTTCCTTATATACCTTAAAAATTTTAACTATCTCTTGTATTTTTATATAAATGCCCTTTTTGTTCCCATCTTCTCTAAAATTTTGTAGTTGTTCACATGTTCGGTCCATGGTATTCTCAGCATCCTTCTGTAGAACCACATTTCTGTTCCTTCAAGTCTTTTCTTCATCTGTGAGGAGGTTGTCCCACATTCACTGTCATATAGGATTCATATTACGTTAACAATTCAGTACACTTTTTTTTTTTATTTTTGACAAAATTTTCCTGTTTCTTAATGCCTTGCTTAGGCATTTTTCACTATCCCAATGTTCCTTCGGATTTCAGTGTTGCACTTTCTGTTGTCTGTTAAAACACTTCCCATATAATATAATTGTTGTACTTGTTTGATTTTGGTATCTCCAATTTGTAATTTGCATGTTGGCCTGTTCCTTTTGCTGACAACCATGCATTCTGTCTTCTTGCAAGTTTAGTCCTTTCTTCTTGTTTTCCTTCACTACCTTCTTTTGAAGGACTAGTTTACCAAATTCCAAGGGATTATTCACTGCTCTCTCTTTGTTAATCTTGACTGGTTAAAGAAAACGCTTTATTCTGGTTATTCAGTCATAATAAAACACACAAAGAACACAATATTAGAATGGGACTTTTCCCTCAACTTTTCATCTCATTGAACAGAATATTTTTCTGACAATTCCATTTCCATCATTAATGAATTGTACAATCACATGATTCACAACTGAAAATGGATACTATTTCACACTGACTACTTCTACTGCCTTCACATTGATGAAAAAAAAAATTACCTTTTGAAATCTGAAAATACTATGCTTCTGGAGTAGGAGGCATTGTCAAGTGATTGTATGATTATTACTTTTATGGTTTTATAATTAATTTGAGTAATTAATAATAAGTATGTACTAAATATCAAATCCAAGTCAAATAATAGTATCTATTTACTGCTAAATGAAACAGTTTATATGTACTTGTATACATTTGGTATAATCTATAAGTTCAAGCAAATTTAATCATGACATTAAAAAAAAAACTTATAATGTCAAGGAAAAAAAAATTACTTTAAGTGGAAACAGATTTGTTGCTAAAAGATTTAACCTGGATCAGAGAATTGCTTGACATTCCTAAAGCTGGCCTCCAAAGTATAGTGAATAATCATGCACCTCAGGTTATTGCAAGATCAATAGAGGATGAGTAGATCATACCAGTCACATATAACCTTTTCAGGAGAAAGGTATCAAGTCTGATAGTTATGAAAGAGAGAATTAAACATTTTGTCATCTAATTTTATTTTGTACAAGAAATAAATTTATAAGTTGAAGTACATACAGAGAATAGTTGATTATAAAATGAATGAAGATATAACAAATGTTTAAATTATTCTAATTACAGTTCAATCTATGTAAGATACTTTCATCATGAAATTAATTTCTATAAAATAAACTAAGAGAAAAAGTGGGGAGATAGAAAGAGAATATATATGTTTATATTTTGTATAATTGAAAGTTATATCTTAATTGTATATTTTAAAGTAATTTTTGAATTTGTTACTGCCTTGTTGTCATTGTGTTGTGAATACCAGCAATAAAAATCAAGTAGAAACCAAAATCTCTTTATTAAATGCAGATTATGGAATTTTCCATCATTGCAGTTCTATGGCTCAACTGTGAATGACGGAAATTTCTTCCGTAGTTAATAGGTTAATGAAGCCAATTAGTATGAGTAATCAAGTTCATTTTATTGTAGGGTACCACACAAACAACAAGGTAAGGTTAAAGTTTCTTGTGGAGAGTGTGCCACTGACAATTGAATTAGAGTTGCTGATTGGTAATCATTTTGTAATAAATGAATCACAAAAAGTAGAAATTATACAATCTTTACATTTCTTTAATAGATGATCTCTTCTTTAAAATCATCTTTTATTCAAATATTCTTTTTGTTAGATTATAGACCAACTAATCTACAAGAAGAAACTAAGTATTTTCAGATGGTTATAATTTTTTTACTTCTGCAAATATAATACTTTTGAACATCAATAATTAAAACTTATTTGTTATTACCAATATAAAACTGAAGTGAGCTTTAGAACTTAGTAAAATAAATTTACCTTAAATTCTTTCTGGATTCATAATGCATAAAACTGGGATCATTATTGGCAAAAATATATATTATAAACTTTATAATACTAATAAAATAAATGTGTATTTTATTGTGGGGTCAATATTCTGAACAAGAGGCACCTTAAGTGATTTTCCTTTTTTCAATATAGTCAAGGCTAACACATTCTAAAACTAATATAAATGCTTATTATTACTCTTAATACATACTCTCCACATATAATTCTGATAATTCAGAAACGTGATTGGAAAAGGTTTGTAAGAATTATTAATATAAAGATAAGGACAATGAAGATAAGCATCATTGAATGTAGTCATCTTGAGATTACCACAGTACAATCAAGGTTAAGTACATTAATCTATAAATCCAAATCAATCTTCATGGGAGGTGCTATTAATCATAGTCAGTGATCAAATAGACAAATAACATGGTTAAATATACTCTCATAAAGGTATGTCAAGACTGTCAGTTAAAGATTGTTTAGACAAGAATTTCCTTAATATACCAATTGAAATCAACATTAACTAGTCTCAGAGTACCTACATGTAATAGATTCTCTATAGAACAGCAGTGATAGATAACTGAATAAGTGGCTGTCAAATATGATCAATTGAAATGAAATAATCAGCAAAATAATTCACAAAAAGGAACTTTTCATAGAAGTTAAATAATCAAAATTTAATCCTTCATTTAAATTTAAAATATAAGGAATATAAATTTTTTCTAAAAATTCTTACAAAAAAATTGAATTTAATTCTGCAATACATTAAAACAATTTTTTTTATGTTATCAAATTTAATTTTAATTTACAAGTTGAAGATACAAAACTAAGAAACAAAGAGCACAATTTGAATCAGTGCAATAAAAATTTCTGTTACCTGGCTTTTTTTCATCAAATAAACATAATTAGTTTTTCCTTCAAATATAATGGATTTCATCTCCAAATGATGCCTCAAATCAGTCTACCTGCAAAATTAGAAAAATTTTTGACTAGTTTTTCTTTCATGTTACAGGAGAATTGTGAAAGAAATAGATAGCTTTAAAAATGTTATTAAACTCAAACTATTTAAGATATTGACACTCAAAGAAACTATTTATTATAGCAGCTTATAGATGCATGTGTGCATCCTTAGTTACAATGTCAACTTGTTTTTTAGATGCCAATGTTTTCCCAGGACTTTTATCTTGACATAAACATCTTGTTGCTTCAAAATTCTTGTCCCAGTCATAGATAGTTTATTTGGAGGAGATTTCCTGGAATGTATTCTAAAATGCCTTTGCACAACAGAAAGAGAATTTGTT